TCCCTCTATGTAAAGGATGTGTGCACACACAAATCCCTCTGATTTCCTCCAAATGCTGCACACTAGGCTTTCGGATTAACTGATGAACCCCGTGGGACACATGCGCATGTTAAAACAGCCTAACACATGCATATGCAAGGCCTTACTCCAGAAATTCAGTGATGTATTTCCTACTGCATTTTGACCACATCCAGGGATTGGTGTAGAAGTTCAGCGTTGGTGCCATGACGTGCTGTTGATTTTTACCTCCATCTTCTTTGCACTTATGATTGTCATCATGAGGCATGTTAAATCTAAGAGAAAAACAGCAGAGAAAAGTATGGTCAGTTAAGCAGCAAATGTCAAGTATTTAGCATAGCAAGAGCAACAGTGAGAACTAAATGTAAGCAAACCCAAGAATTTTTCCTCGATATGCTAGACAGATATTACAGAATAAAAGTATTAATATGCACATGTTCATAAGTGTCAACAAGCGTTGCTCAAGTTGGGTTCCTAGCACTTGTCTGCAAAAAGCTACGTAGGACCCCAGTAAGCTCTCCACACCATGACTGCATATATTTAGCCAGACAAGTCCTTGAGAGAGCCTGCAGTAAGACGCAATTTCAGCTGCAGTTTCCTTTTCAGCTGACAGTTGCGATCCTGTAGGCAGGCTGGAGTTTGGCCCCACCTTCATAAAAATGGCAAGTTCTCTGGAATTGAGCCGAGGAGCCACGAGTTGATCTGGGGGAATAAGTTTCCGAAGGAGGTGAATGACTTGAGCCCACCGACCACCACTGCCTGAAGTCCCTCGTGTACATAGGCAGCGCCCTACGTTGGCTGCAAAATATTTTCTAATGCAGTTGAATACCTTGGGCCACGCTGATCCCTCATGCTGTTGCCTAAATAGGGTTGCACCGGGGATAGACTTGGCTCCTATACTTTATGTGGTAGGTTTACAAAATGCCATCAAGCATCAATATCAGCAGAAACCCATGTGAAGTTTGCAGCACATGACATATTGAAGAATGTGGCAAATACGGTAACGGAGACAGAACGGCTTAAAGCCCTTTGCTGTTTGAAGTGGAGAAGGGGAAACGACCCGGTGTGATCCTGCGTTCGAAGGCTGGGGAGCTTATATCCCATTAAGATTACCTCCAATGAACCACCTTTTCACTCTGCTCCCTGTAAAAGAGCAAAGAGGCATTTCCTGCTCGGGAGCGCCGCTAACCCCTCCGGCAGCTCTGGGGCAGCATTAGCGAAGGAATTAGCCACAGGTTAGGTGTGGGGAACGCCAAAACTTCGGGGACTTTCTGTCAGGAAATCTCATTTAAACAAATACTACTGTGGTTAAAAATAGACCATCTCAGCCAGCTCTCCGTGAAGAAAAAGGGAGTTTAAAACAATGAGGGATCTGTTCCACTCACTCATCCATCCCACACCTACAGACCTCCACTGCAAACCAGGCGTGAGGTGGTTTGGGACTGAACCAGCTGCCTAAAAGTTGTAGCTGGGGGGTAAAGGACTATGTGATCTAAGATGATTTTTCTCACTACCACTCTCAAAAAAAGGCAAAATCAGTTAAAAGAAATTTCCACTGGAGGAGGTGCATTCTGAATGACAGCATCTCTTCTGGGGATGTCCAGCAGCACGAGATTTTCCCTCGTGAAATAGCTCAGGAGGTGGGTCAGGCTCACTTGCGCATCCCGATCACCTGCCAGACGCCCTGGGTAAATTCCTCCCTTCACACACTGCTGCTGCGCTGCCTCCAGAAACAACACGCATGGTGGTGGAACGAGCTGTGGCAGGCTGAGGACCTGCTCTCAGAGGAGACTTCAGTCCCGAAGGCCAGGTGAGCTGTGCCCATGCCCCTTGCCTCCTTCCCGAGGCACCCAGCACCTCCCAGCTCCGGCCAAAATCCTGGCTAGTCCCAGAGGCCTGGCCAGGACATCACGGCTGCTGGGGCAGATCCTGCTGACATCCACATGTAGATGTGAGAAGATGCAGTAATAACAGACATTTTGTTAGCTCTCCTCCCTTGCTCAGGTACTGCCTGGAGTACCCTGTCACTCATCCTCCCCAAAATGTGGGTCTGCTGGTTTTGCTGCTCTCAGACAGGCTCCGGAACGCCCCACCTCCTCCCAGAGTCACACCACAGCTTCACCTTCCTCGGTGGTGCATCTTCTACCCAAGTATATTTATCTCCTCTCAAATGATTAGGCTCAGCAGGTACCAAGTCCTAGCCTGGCTGGCAAGTCCTAGCTAGCATAAATCTTGGGCTATTTAAATGTAAATGTATTTACATAAAACATACACATGGCCAAGTTCATGTGCTATTGTGAAAGCAGTGCTCAGTCCGTTATCTTCACTAATTGAACAGCTCCTGTATGGGTCACAGACTGTGCCCAGCTCTGCCAGACCTAGGAGAGAACAAAACAGGTTTACAATAGAAAAAGAAATGTCGCCCACGGTTCAGCGCAGGCAACTAACATTGTCACTGTAAAAAAAGTTATTACAAGACAAAGAAAAGGTTTTCCTTACCCAGAGTATCACATTTGTCGTGCGCTCTACAAATATCCTGTCTGAAAGCAGAACAGACCTGACACATTAATTTTCAATGCAGCAGTGAGTTAAGGTACAAGCACAATAATAACATCATCCAAAAGCAATTCTTGGTCTTCCAACAGACCTTCTCATGTTGGTTCGCCACATCGTCCGGTCAGAGTCTGAACCAACTCCCTACCATAGTCAGAGTTTTTCATCTTATGTTGAACCCATGGGCAGACCCTGGACAGTCCTGAACCTCTCAAAGTCATCTGCCGCTATGGTGGACACATTATCCCGATTCTGCTCAGAGTTACGCTGCTCCCACAATTGCAAATGTCATTACGCCCACATCAAAAACTGAACATTTCCCATAGCTGGATATATGACTTGCTCACAGCCTCTGACACACGACTGGCTACAGTTTTCATGAGAATATTCACCATACCTGGTAACAAGCACGGCTGTATCATGTTGAAGGTGACTTCCTTCAGGGTGGTTCTGGGATTGCTGCCATTGGCAAAAGTTTTTTAATGTTGTCTGGGCATTGTAAGATATTGCAGGACCATCCTAATAAGCAACACACAGAAAGCAGGTATTTTAATTATTCTTCGCAATGCTCACTACAAATGAACAGAAGGTGACGAAAATAATTTCCATTACCTGCTCATTATGTATCACAACCAATTTCACAATAACAATATTAATTAAATTTCCAATGCTTGGGTCTTTGTAGATAGAAGCCACCTATTTCAAAAACAAAATTCAGAATTATTGCTAACATTCAAGGAAACAAACAATTAAGACAACACACACGTTTTCCATTTTGCAACTGTTTTTCTTCCAAGCTGCTCTTCTGTCCCACTCAGTGCTCTGATGCTACTTGGAGAGACCTCCTGCCAGAAGTACAATTTTAGAATGAAACAAACCTGCTGGTATCGCAGAAACCCAACATTTTCTTTTGCTTTAGCACACATTTGACCAAATTACAGGATCATTCTGCTCTGAGATACAATGACCACCAACCAAGACTGTCAAAAACAACTTATTCTCTCAAATGCCTCATTTTGACATGGACAATTTTAGACCACATATTCACTGCACTTCTACCCTCAAATAGCATGAAAATCCCTCCAGTAACACAACTACGCTGGATACTCACTTCCAGTCACTCTGCATCTACAGAGCTGCTTGTCTGGGGACTGCACTACTGCATCCTAGTACCAGCAGCTACTAAAATGGTTGTCCTCAGCCTGGAAAGCCAACCCTAGCACTGTGCTAAGGATCAAGGTGACCACAGGCTCTTTCTCCTTGCAACAGCAAGGGAAGTCAGCCAACTGCGTAACCTACTAGCATCAGTCCCTTGGAAGGCACAGTCCCTGAAGTACCTTTTTAATTCAGTTGCTATTTCACATGGGCTTAAATAAGAGTACAGCGTGTGGACTAAAGGGCCAGTGATATTTCTTGTGCTGCCTGGGGTTCAGAAAGCTGGAAGGGAGAGGTGTGGGAAGGGTTAGGAAACGTGATGGGTCCGGGAAGGAAGGCGACGCCAACCAGTGTTCCCCAGCCAAGTTTTACCAAGTTTACTCCAATCCCAGCATTATCCCCATGCCTGGGTGAGGCAAACCGATGGTATCGCCTATGAACACAGCAGAAAGGGTGCTCTGTGACCACTAGAAAAGAATTTACTCCCCTTAGTTGAATACTCACTATTGACATTAACGTTAAGACATAGTGCTGTAGATTAGCTCCATGGTAGGCGACCATCCTGCTGTCAGCCACCACCATCACTTCCACAAACCGAGGATAGGAGAGAAACCGCTTTGTTCGTTTGTGGCTCTTCTTTTCACTGACGTTCCCAGTCTTGTTGCTATCCGCAGAAAAAGAGTTCACTTCCAGGCTGTGTTTCAAAATCTCCACGTCAGATAATATGCTGCTTTCTGCCCACTGTCTTCTCCAGTGTTTCCGCTTGTTCTTTTTGTGACTGTGTTCATGATCTATGATGAAAAAGCAGACAAAAACATAAAGTACATTCTGGAGTGAATAAAGTTAATACCACATGCATGTTATGTCAAAATACCTATTTACTTCGATGTAGAGTTAGCAGGCTTGTTCCAAACAGCTAACCAAAACAGAAGCACTCTGTGGAAGCCCACCACGTAATCCAACATTTTCTTAATTTTTCAAGTAATCTTACAGAAGCCAACGGCACTTAAAGGTGGACATTCACGTAAAGGCTCTCCTGCAGCAGAGCTGTCTCCTTGCCTGCGCAGGAGGGATGGAGCCTGGGCTGCAGTTCAGTTTAACGCGACATGAGCCCGGTGATGGTAATTAGCCACCGCAGCGGCAGCGTGAGGATTCTGGGCACGTCCAAGGTGGCCAGGAAACCACAGGAAACAAAGGTCCAAATCCTGTATTTCTAACTCAGGCATGAAGGACGGCAGGATTTGGCCTTCATAGCGAAGCAATTATATATGATTTATTTCTGTCTCTAACAATAACATGGCTGGGCTTCAATTCCCCCCCTCCCTTTATTATTCTGTGCTACGGGAATGGTAAAGGTCATCTAATAGCACAGCTGCCACTGGCTAAAGAATAGAATTCAGGAAGTTTCACATATACTGCTTTTGATATTCAATTAGGCCAAACATAAAAGCAGCCTGAAAATATACTCCATGCTGATACAAAGACGACAAAGTGAAGAGGGAGAACCGGCAAATAAAACATATGGAACGTGTACAATTAAGATTTACCATCTGATTAGTATGTAATTATAGCATTATTTAAATGTAAGAGCAAAATCAGTCTTATTTGATGTCACTTAATTTTTAATCAGTTCATCATAGGAAGTAGCTAATTGAATGTGATTCATCCATGAGAGACTGTTCGCTTCTGCATTTAATATAAAGCCAGATCTGAACTACTCATCTAAGACTCCAGGCTACAACCCTCATGCTCTTTGTAGCTTTAGTTTAATTTCATCACGGTGGTGAAAAATATCACGTTTCCTTATCTGACCCACTGAGTAGGTTAGAGGAAGCATAATATTAGGGAACAAAGGAATATTCAATGCTCAAACAAGATTGAAATGATAGGAAACTTCTTAGCTATTCTTCCTGTATAGTTTCCTTTTAGGATATTTTGTAATAATTTCCAAAAAAAAGAAATATAAAATACATTCTTTAATATCAAGGCAGGCAAAGGGGGTCACCCAGCTTCTACCTATCTGAAAAATACTATCCTTTTGCCCCATGTGTAAATAGGCAATAGAGTATTTAAGAATTAAATCCTGTTTACTCTGCACTACCTAAGTCCTATGAATTCCCCTTTCTCGATATAGTCCAGACCACCTTAATACAGCAGAGAGTCCACAGTTATTTGAGTAAGAATTCAAGAAAGCCAATGGCATTTGTGGTTATAATTGGATTGCCCTAGTTCCTCTGCACCAATCAATGCCCTTGTGTTGGCAAGGTTGTGCTCTCACGCTGGCACAGTTTTGTGGGCAACCGTGACATTATCCCGACTCATTCAGTGCCAGTCAGTGCGGGAAGCCAACTATGCATACAAATAACTTAAAGGTGAGAAGAGGACCAGACCAAGGAGAAAGTGCTAACCTCAACTCTTCACCCAGTTCCCCTCCTCTCTGCACCCTCAGCCAGTCACTTAAATTTCCCTTTTAAATAACTAACTTCCAAAAGAAGCAGGTGCTCAAGGAAAAATGCATTAAGGATGGGGAGATGCTCAACAGGGCTCGAGCATGGCTGAAGGCAAGGCTGCGGTGTGAAGGCAGAGCTCTGCACCATCTGCCACCGCCGCTCCGCAGAGCCCCAAGTGGGACCATGGGGCTCAGGTGTCTTCTCCTTCGGCCAGCCTTGCAGAGGGAGGTTAAATAGCAAAAGAGGCGGCAAATGCAAAGGATTCTTTGAAGAGACACCTGTTATATGGGAGGTGTTTAAAGAAATTAATTGACATTCACCAGGCTTGCACTGATATCCTGCAGCTACTGTTGTCACATGCTCAAAAACAAAAAACACCACCCAAAAAACAGAGGCGTCCACATGAAATGCCTGGTCTGGTCCTGAGAGCCCCCATCTGACCCACCACTCAGGAGAACCAGAGCCCAACACAGCCAGGTACGCCCAGCACAGAGGAAAAACTACCTTTCTTTCTGTTGCAGAGACCTGGCATGGTGTCACAGAATCATTGATTCATTTAGGTTGGAAAAGACCCTTAAGATCGAGTCCAATCATTAACCTAACACTGCCAAGTGTCGGTACAGTATCACTGTACTTCCCTCGTCCAGCACACAAATCAAGTCAGCCACATCATCCCTTCAAAAACCAATATATTTTTTTCCAGGTACGACGTCACTCCAGTCACTCCACTCACAGCATGCTATTTGGACAAGTCACATATAGGATGTTTGCCAGCCTAGTTACGGCAAAACCAAGCACAAGCAAGTGGGGATACATTGCGTGTAAAGCCACTCCTGGACTTCGACAGCAGTGAACTGTTATCTTCACCCATCTTTCCTGCGTATAATTACACTCAGAGATGGTGCACATTCAACTGTAAAAAATTAAACACTAACGGCAGCGCACGGCTCTCAACCCATCCATAAAACCCCCACCAGCGTTAACGGGAGTTGCATACAGGCACTGCCAGTACTCCATGTGCCTGATGCTGTTGATAACTCGCTCCGTTACGATGGCCATAACAGAGATGCTCTTACTGAATGGCGCAGCATACTGCCATTTAATCAAGCAGCAGTGAAAATCTCTCACGTTACACAGGAAAACTGCAATTTTACAGTGTCAGCTTCCTACTGCCACACACAACACCAAAAAAGGGTGTGATATTTTTCCACCTGGTTTTGCTTTTTTTTCTATTGTGTTAATATATTAACAGAAATCAGGAAGGAAAATGGTTTGCTTGGCAAGCTCTCAATCTCTGCAAATGACCTGAAAAACATCTACCTACACATGGCAGTAATTGGATGGGCTTAAGTAACAAAACATTTTCTTTAATTTGCAGAAAAAAAAAAAAACAAGGAGCAGACAAACACTTTAAAACCACGCAAACTACAGATCAATAATTCAAGTATTAGGTGAACCTATGCACTGATTCAACAGTTAATATTAATTTAAGAGATGGCTAAAAGCTGCTGGAATAATGTCCATTTTACTGCTTGCTTTACTAAGACAGTCCATGGTGTTTGCACTGTCTTTAGACAGACCTGGAGGTGTATGTTCATTTTTTTTTTCTGCTTGGTTTCTTCTTTTTTATGTGGGACCTAAAAAAGAGACCCAGTCCTGTCACACGGATATTCCTTCCTGACGGCATCTTCTCACCCATGCCATTTATTTTTGCTTGCGCAAGAAACCTCAGCCCAGAGCCCATTGAGCTGATTTATGGATGATTCAAAAACCTGCTGATTTTAAGGGTTCGGATCTATCCCAAGGGAAAGGGCAGGGGAGACTCAGGCCCTACGCGGCTACTTCGCCTGCATGAAAGGGTAACAGGGCAGAGCCAGGGACTGCTTTTGAAATAGTAGCTATTGTTATGCTAAAACCAAAAATTAAAAGAAAGGGCGATCGCTTATCCCAACAGTTCTAATCCTTTCCATTTCTACATTAACTTGTCCTTGGAATAGGAAGCAATTTGCACAATTAAATAAGACATGCGACAATGCAAGCAATTCCAGTTCAGCTCCAAGTTCAGGAAAGCTGCACATAGCAGGGGGGAAGTAGAGAAAAAAGAAGTAAAAGAGAGAAAGCAAGAGAGGAAAAAAAACCCACCTATTTCTTGAGCTAATAACATTAACAACCTCTCCCTGCTAGAAAAGGAGCATAGTCCTCTCAAACCAACTTACTATCATATATTTTCTGAATGTGTGACCTAGGATTTTTAACACAAAGTTTGCTGCTCAGCGGTTGGCCCCTAACACTCCTAGACCTGCTCCGATCCAGCTGCGCAGATGCTAAAACTATTGCTTGGAAGTTAATTATTTATTGTACACCTCCATAACGCAGATCAAAATGCAGCTGAGCTCCCTCCAGGCAGTCGGTCGGCGTGTGACCTGCCTCCCTCGACTCGAGCAGGAGCCACGGCAGCAAACCCTGCCCAAATGGTTCAGTACAAGCTCTGGCTACAGTCGGATGGCCCAAATTTGCTGCCTGTAGCTGGTACAACAGCAGCCACTGAAGTGACTGCCATCATTTCGAAAAGAGAGACAAGAGGCAAAATGGATTTTTTTCATGCAGAGGACAGTGGCTGAAATCAAACCACATTTCTAGGCTCTTCTTGCCAGGAAATGGGATGGAAACTGGCTCCTCTTTAGGATCCAAACAGTTCCTAAGCTGGACCAAAGGATTTTTCTAGCCCTGGGTCTGTTTTAATTCTATATCGATATGTTTTGTATCTCTGTCTATCTTTCAACATGTCTACAGATATATCTTAGATGAATTTGCACGAGGGCAAATTCTCACCTCTGTTACCATGGGTGTGCTGTTGCGGCCAGCGCAGCCCAGAGTTGAACACTCCTCTGCTGCCAGCAGCTTCTCGCCCTGCTCAGCCAACAGCCAGGGATGGTAACGTAATGATGGAGCAGTCACTGCCTTGCTCTGCACCACACTGAGACGACCAGTCCTATGAGCAGGACCAATCCTGCCTTGCCTCTGGATAGCTCCTTGACTGTGCAATTGGAGCTGCTGCTATAGCTAGAAAGGGAAAATTGTCTATTGATAGAGGTGAGATGAATAACCTACATCAGAAGGGAAATAAAGGATCCGGGCCAGCCAGGATCCAAAGAGAAAAGTATTCTGCAGTAAGGGTAAAAATGAAAGTTTGCTCGATTTAGCTAATCTCCAAACTGGAAAATGTTCAAAATGCAAATCAATCTGAACCCACTTAACAGAGAGACCAAGTGGAGTTTCAACCTTCATCTGCAAGAGCTAGACAAAACCACATAGATCAAACTTGCATGGTTGGAACTATT